CAAACTAAACATTGATGGATAATTAACTTTATATTGTTAAAGATTACCGTCATAGAAAATCAAAAAATTCCATTTATACAGGGTGTCTAATTAAGAATGGGATATATAACAAATAAAGAATCTCTGATTAAAAATAAGACGATTAAATGAAACATGCTTAAGTAAAATGTTACTCGTTTCCGAAAAACATGGGGTAAAAGTTGAAAATTTGCAAAAAATGTAATGGTTATAACTTTTTTATTACTTACCCATGCCGTGCGCCACTGACAAAGTTTTTCGCTGATGGGTGTTTCTTATGACGCCAAAAACCCAGATTATTTTCACAAGAAGAACATTTTATTTGTTCTGATTTACCTGGCCGTTTTAAGCATATTCCTATACAGGGTGTACCAATAAAAACTCCCAGGCCGGATATTTTGGTAAGGAATAGAGATATTTTAATTCTGTAAGAGCCAGTTCACAGAATACTGAAAGCTTCAGTTTTAGTTATAAATTGATATTAAATAGGTTAATATGTAGATGGCGCTGCGCCCAATAATTTTTTTCAATGGAAGGATCTTTCTTGTGTAGTGCATCTTGTAAAAAATGCATTTTTAGCAGATTTTGTTTTATGAATTAATTCGATAAATCTAGCTATTTTTGATATACAGAGTGGTTCACTCAAAACAGTTTCATCCTGTTTTTCAGCATTAATCATTAGATTTTAAGAAAATGCTAAAACAAATTGATTTTTATTGCAAAATAAAACATTTTTACAACACAGACATCTATCATGTGTCACCCCCCCTCCCTTGCACTCTTCAACGCCTTAATTTTAAATAGGCAATTTAATGGGGGATTCAGAAATATTTCTGTACATTGCGTTACTTAAATTTTATCGCCCTCTAGCGGGATAAAAAGTATTACGTGTTATAGGGTGTGACACTACAATGTGTAGTACATCATTAAAAAGGTAATTTTATGGGGAATTTAGAAATATGATTGTTTATTGTGATAGTTTTAATTGTATTTGAAAGCAAATTTAATTATTTATTTAATGCACCCCATAACATAAATATAAATATTCTCCATATTGCACTTGCAATAGTTTAAAAATTAGTCATGCATTATTTTAAACATTAGTGCTAACTTTATTTTGTTGCAAGTGCAATATCAAATATTTATATTAATGTAATTTGGTGCATTGAATTAGTAATTAAATTAGCTTTCAAATGAAGTGTCACACTTTATAATACGTTACAGTTTTTTTATCCCGATAGAGGGCGATAAAATTAGTATCGCATATTTCTGACTTCCCCATAAAATTACCTTTTCAATGATTTTCCGTACATGGTACATTCCTTATTTAAAATTAAGGGGTTGGAGAAGTGGAAGGGAGGAGGTTGGCACATGACAGACGTCTGTATTTTAAAAATATGTTTAATTAAAAATAAAAATCGACCTGTTTTAGCATATTCCCAAATTCCAGTGATTAATGCCGAAAAACAGGATGAAACTGCTTTGAGTGACCCACTCTGTATATCAAAAATGTCTAGATTTATCAAATTAGTTTATAGAATAAAACCTGCTTTGAAATGCAGTTTTCGCAAGATGCGCTATATAAGAAAGATCTTCCCATCGAAAAAGAAAAATATCCGGTGTGTGAGTTTTTATTGGAGAAAACAACAAATATTTTAATTTTGTAGCATTTAATTTCAAACCATGTCCTTTTATTTAGTCATATCAAACGTGTATAATAGAAAGAGAAGAGGTCCTAGCACAGAGCCCTTGAGGACGCCAGAGCAAATAGATTTTCGTTTGGAACATTTATCACCAATAACGACTTGCTCTTTTCGGTTAGTTAGGTAGCATTTGACGAAATTAAGAACCATGTTGTCAAATCCAAGATATTTGCATTTAAATAAAAGAAGTTTGTGACACTTGATGCGATTATAAAAATGTCACTTTATATGTCAAAATTAGAAAAAATAAAAATGTATAAATATCGAACCTTTAATCATAAAGTTACATAAATAAAAATTTAGAGATTTTGAGTTGCGGTAATAAAACGACCAAAATAGTGCCATCTATTTAGGTTACTCCGACCTACGTTGAAATAGCCAGGAAGTGTAGATTTCTTTTTGTGTCAGTTTCGGATTTTATAAGGTATATTTAGACCTAAAGCTACATAATTTCAGTTGTGTGCCAACACTGACAGGGTTTGAGATATCATCCTAGTTCAAATTAATTCTAAAATAGTTGTGCAACTTTTTTAGTCATAAACTGACACATTTCGTGTTGATACATTTTCTTTTCATTACTAAAGTGACCTAACTATAATTTTTTTTATCTAACAATAAAATCATTTTTTCTTTTCTTTAAAAAATCATACATACATTTTCAAAATATTGCTTTACCTTCTCACAAGTTTCCCTTATTCGCTGATAAAATTCAGAGAATGCCAGTTCAATCAATACCAGATAGAGATCAAAACAGAGATTAAAAGCCTAAAAATTAGAAAGGCCCCGGGGCCGGACGATATCAGAAGCATTTTATTAAAAAACTTTACAATTCGTATATAGTAAATGTAGTCATTAAATTACAGCATTACCCAAAAATGCTAAAAATAGCAAACATAATACCGTTAAAAAAAACGGGGAAAAACGGAAATTCGTGGAAAAAGACCCATCTTTTTATTAAGGTCTATCTTAAAAATCTAACACACAGTACTAATGGCAAGACTACTTTTAATAGAACAACACCTAAACATAATACCGCGGGAACAATACGAGTGCAGGGAAATGCACAGTGCAGTACCACAAATAATAAGAACTGCGCATCATGCCAAAGAAGCTTCGAACAATCAAAAACAAACTGTACTTGTGTTTCTAGACTCGGAGAAAGCCTTCGACACGGTTTGGACCTACGGACTTATACACAAAATGTTTGTAAATGGATATCCTGTGCATATTGTAAAAACTATCCAATCGTACCTACAGGACAGGACATTTTTAATCAAAATAAACAAAACAACGACAGAACCATACCATGCCTCAGTGGGAGTACCACAGGGATCAGTACTCTCGACACAACTGTATATGAAAATGAAAATATATTTATTATTACAGAACAACTCAAAATACAAAATTCAAAATACAAAAATCAGGAAAAAAAATTATAATTTATGATTGAACAAAACAGAATTAAAGTCCAAAATACAAAATATACATATTAATACAAATAAATAAAAAAATTTTTAAAAGAGATTTGCACATTCAATCTACTTTACACTAATTTCATCAATCATGAACATGTTTTTATCATTTTCTTTTTAAAAACTGTTACAGACGAACTAGCTTTAATACCAAACGGCAGTTTATTGTAATGGTCAAAGCATTTAAAAAACAAGGAATTCATTGATGTTCGTTTATTTGTTCTAACATACCAATATGACCCATGACATGACAATGGATAAGAATGGTATACGGATGACACCTGTGTGTATAAATCATGCGATAGCACGGAAATAGCCACAAGAAGGCTGGACATCCATATAAACAGAACGTTAATCCCATATCTAGAACAGAACAAAATGAAAATAAACCCATTAAAAACAGAAACACTATTAATATCATAACTACAATCAAAAAGAATCAACACAAAATTAAAAGTAAAAAATGAAACAATGGATACTAAAAATAGCATGAAATATCTCAGATTCCATCTAGATAGAGGATTAACGTTCCAAACGCACATAAAAGACAGAATAGCAAAAACAACGGGGGTAATAAAAGCTTTTTACCCCATGCTAAAAAGAAATAGTCATGTATCAAGGAAATAATCAAGTCATTAGACCAACTCTCACATATGGATGTCCAGTCTATTGCTCAATGGCAAGCAGTCATTACGAAAAATTACAAAGAAGACAAAACAGGTGTCTCAGGCCAATTCTCGGGTGGGATCACAAAATAAGAATTCTTGACATGCACGGGGCTACATTCATACTTCCTATTAAAGACTATACTCTGTCCACAGCAGAAAGATTCTTCAAACACTGTCTTCCTCCTGAAGCGGAGGAAGACATACTTAACGTAAATGCGGAAAATAGTGACGCTTGACGCTAGGAAGTTTGAATTTCTCCACAGGCTACTACTCAATAATCACGTGTATACCGGTCGGACGGACGACTGAGGGGTGGAGGGGATCGTCAGGTCAGAAAACAGCATTCTGAATAATTTTCCCTCATTGGACGATTCACTTAACCAGTCAAAAGTCGAGATCTCAGATATACTCCATAGACTACCGCAACCAACCTACACACTAAGAAGGACCACCCTGTTTTTTAGCGCTTTTTCAGGGAAACAAACGAAGACAAAATAAAACTAAATACAAGGATCAATTATTGTCTGTTAACAGAACAAACCAAATGTGTAGCATAATATCATTCTGTTAAGGAGGTCACAGCCAAATTTTCAAAGATAAACAACTCACCCATCTTATGACTGAGCAGGACAGCTCTGGGCTATCGCAGTCCGAAGAAATATTGACGACAACGGGAAGAAAATGACCTGTAGATAAAAATTTTTGATAATGAAAAAAGACGTTTTTAATTTCATTTATTCATAATACTTCTTTAATTTTCTCAAAATTCAAACATTCTAAGACAGCTTCAAATATAAAACAGTTTTTGGCAGATTCTACGAAACTAGCATTTTTTAATTAAGTCACTTTATAATTTAAGGTACGATATATCAAATTAAATCACAGAATGATTTATTCGTATTAAAAGTTAACTGTCAGTTGAACACAAATTACGTCACAGTATTAAAGCGTATCCCCGAGTAACTCTGAAGTAGACGTTATGGGAAGTTGAAGGGAACTCTCAATGCTGTTTTCTGACCTGACGATCCCCTCCACCCCTCAGTCGTCCGTCCGACCGGTATACATGTGATTATTGAGTAGTAGCCTGTGGAGAAATCCAAACTTCCTAGCGTCACTATTTCCCGCATTTACGTTAACTATGTCTTCCTACACGTCAGGAGGAAGACAGTGTTTGAAGAATCTTTCTGCTGTGGTCAGAGTATAGCATCACAGGGAATCCTACCTTTTAACGTGGAATCTGAACCACATGGACCACTTCAAATACCTTTGGATACAGAGCAGAGCAAATCTTGCATGGCGTGGTATTTTAGAATTATTGTATTATACCGTTTTCTTAGGTGCAGTTTTTAATTTTTTCTCTATTTTAGGATTCCCATGCGACACTTGTGGCAAACAGTACAAACGCAAATCATCGGTAAGGGAACACAAACGTTTCGAATGTATGAAAGAGCCTCAATTTGCATGTCCTGCTTGCGAATATAAAGCAAAGTTGAAGGGAACTCTCAAAAAACACATGATCAATAGACATTGTTTAAACATCGATCTTTATTATAAAAAAAATTAATAAAATTTTATTACGATTATTCTCGTTGCAAAAGTCAATAGAAAACTGTTTTTTCTTTATATAAGTTTGTGAAAAGTGACATACAATATTTTATCAACCACCAATTTTTTTAATAACAAATCAAATGAAAACATCTTGGAGATATGACCTAATGCATTTACCTCTATTTGTTTGCATACATCAATCACGTTCTTCAACGAACAAGAAATAACATTTCTCATCAGTGTAGAGGTGGAAAGGTAATATTCCCAATGATCGGTAAAACACTGGCAATATCTGTATAAATGTATTTTATATTTATAAAATCTACGCTTTCAGATTTATGGAGTTGTAGAAGATGAAACACTTTGGAAAATTTGATTGATTTTTATTTACCCAGCTCTGGTTGCGACGTCCATTTAATGTCGAGTTCTTGGGTAATTATTGGGCGCATGAAGTGTGGTGTTGCCAGATATACTCTATAAATTTCCTCAGATCTGGGTAAAAATTAATGAAAGTGTTTCAAAATGCCTCAACTTCTACTCTGGGTGTACCGTAAATATACAGTAAATATTAGCGATATTTTAAATTGTAGGCTATCGTCAGTAAAGAGGATGGCCGAATTTTAAAATTTTGGAAAGTTTTTCATTTTTTTTTGCGAATAACTATCTTGTATACCGATAAATTTACTTAATAATAATTCTTCTGTGATTTGTTGTCCACAAATCGAAGAACCGACGGTGAAGCTTTCACGTTAACCTATGGACGCCATCTTGTGATTGGCAATATAGCAAAGTTTGATTACTAGCACTGTTGCGACGGCCATTTAAGTTTTTGGGTAACTATCCCAATATCCCACTATTGATTTATGAAGTGCGGTGTCGCCGGATCTACTATACAAATTTCCTCAGTTCTAGAGAAAAATCAATGAAAGTGTACGAATTATGTCGTCAATTGAAGACATAGCTATGTTCATTTTATTGTAATCTGGCACTGTTGTGATGTCCATTTATTGTCGACTTTTTAGGGAATTATTAGAAATACTTACTGTTGATTCATGAAGTTGCGGTGTTGCTAGATCTTCTCTACAAATTTCCTCTGATCTGGCGTAAAATCAATGAAAGTGTTCCAAAGTGTCTCAGCTTCTGATCTAGGTGTACCATTAATATACAGTAAAAATAAGCGATATTTTTAATCATACTCTATAGTCTGTAAAGACAGTGATCTAAATTTAAAATTTTGGATAGATTTTTCAATTTTTTTGCGATTATCTGTCTTGTATACTGTTAAATTTACCTAATAATAATTTTTCCGTAATTCGTTGCCCACAAATCAAAAGCAGCCTCTTTAAAAGACGTGGATTTCACATAAACGATTGTCACCATCTTGTAGTTGGCAGTATTACAAAATTAAGTTAGTAACACTGTTGCGACGTTCATTTCATGTCGAGTTTTTGCGGAATTATTGGGAAAACTTACTATTGATTCATGAATTGCGGTATTGCCGGAACTACTCTTCAAATTTCTCCAGATCTGCGGAAAAATCAATGAAACTGTTTCGGGTGTACCGTAAATATACAGTAATACAGCGATATTTTTAATTATACTCTACTGTCTGTAAAGTGTATGGACAAATTTGAATATTTTGGATAGTTTTTTAAATTTTTTGCGAATATCTGTCTTGTATACTGTTCAATTTTCTTACAAATAATACTTCCGTGAATTTTTGCCCACAAATCTTATAAGTAGGAGTGCTAATACGTATTTTCGTAAATCTGTTTTAAAATGACGATTATAAAACGCCATTTATCGTTCGATTAATTGTAAAATACCGTTAATATATAGACAATTAATAAAAGTACCAGTTCTAGACCTTGGGGCACCTCAAAACTTAAATGCATACCAAAATTATTCCCAGAGTGTCTATACAGTGTGTGACTTTTCTACTCCACTTGCACATTTCCTCTGTATAAAATAGATGATATCGCAGTTAGACTATCTTACTTTTTAACGTGGAATCCGAAAACACATTGATTACCTTATATAACCCTCGATTCAAAGCCAATCTAGCATGGGAACGGTATTATGTTTATGTTGCAGTTTTTAATTTTCTGTATTTTTTAGGCTTCAGATGCGAAACTTGTGGCAAAATGTACAAACTCAAATCATCGATAAGGGAACACAAACGATATGAATGCATGAAAGAACCGCAATTTGCATGTCCCGCTTGTCACTATAAAGCAAAGTTGAAGGGAACTCTCAAAAAGCACATGTTTAATAAACATTGTTTAAACATCGATCATTATTTTAAAATTAAAAAAAGTTAATAACATTTTTACTGTTTTTTACTGTTTGTTTTTACTGTTTGTTTTTACTGTTTTTTTTTTAATTATTCTCGTTACAAAAGTCAATATTTTCCAAGTAGTAGTGTATATGTTATACAATATTTTATCGACTACCAGATTAATCGTCAGGATTTGACCAGCTGATAGTTTATCGAAAAATAAAGGTACTTTGTCCAATAAATTATGATCCGATTTTGCTTCTTTTTTTTTATGTATACAGGGTTGAAGAACTCAAAGTCGTGCAAAATAGAAAAAAAAAATAAGTAAAAGAATTGTATTTTTAGTTGGTATATTTAAAAAATTATAAAAAATTCTAAAAAAATATACTGGGTAATATGTTTTGTCCCAAAAACTAATCGAAGTGCCCATTCCCCGTGAGCACGCTTCTGGAATTACTGGATTAACTGTAACATGTAAAGGCACCCCATACAGTTGTCAACAAACTGAACATTTTAATAAAATCGGTCAAAGTATTTTATAAATATTATTAACTTTAACACTATATCAAATAGAAAACAAAATTGGACCATGTTTTATTGCACAAATTACTTTTATTTCTCTATAAACTACCGGATTGTAAAATTCTAATGACATAAAGTGAACCTCCCTATACACAGGATGTGCCGTAAATATACCGACAAACTTATAAGGGTGGTAGGGGACATCAAAATAAATATTTTTTTTAAATAAATATATGTCCAAAAACGCAAAATTTCCGAAAACGAAGATCTTCCGAAATTTAGTGAATTGTATACAAAAATAATAACGCCCAGTATTTATTTGAAATTTTTATAATTGTTTTGAAAACACCTTTTTGTCCCTTGATATTTTTATGTATCTCTCTTTATATTGTAACATGAATATCTGGTTATTTTATCTACTTTGATATATGTTTGATATCAATTTATAGGGCGTGGGTGAGGTTTTTAAATAACTCTAATACCTTTGAAAAGGAAGTTGGGCACCCCTATATTTAAAGCTTATACACTTAACTCTACATTAATGATAAAAATATAGAAAATCACTAACTACTAACAAATTATACCTAAAAAATGCTTAAGATAAGGTAGATATGAAATTATAATTTACATAAGTTTGCACATAATTTAAATTTAAAACAATTTATTGATTAGATCAATTGCACTTATCTGTTTGGTAAATAAGGTAATATATAGTATGGTAAGTTAAAGGTAAAAATCAGGTATTTCTTCCTTCGTCTCAAACTGCAGAGGTACATCAATCCTTAAACATTATATACCGGTCAGCCAACTTCAAGCAAGTGAATTGTATACAAAAATAATAACGCCCAGTATTTATTTGAAATTTTTATAATTGTTTTGAAAACACCTTTTTGTCCCTTGATATTTTTATGTATCTCTCTTTATATTGTAACATGAATATCTGGTTATTTTATCTACTTTGATATATGTTTGATATCAATTTATAGGGCGTGGGTGAGGTTTTTAAATAACTCTAATACCTTTGAAAAGGAAGTTGGGCACCCCTATATTTAAAGCTTATACACTTAACTCTACATTAATGATAAAAATATAGAAAATCACTAACTACTAACAAATTATACCTAAAAAATGCTTAAGATAAGGTAGATATGAAATTATAATTTACATAAGTTTGCACATAATTCAAATTTAAAACAATTTATTGATTAGATCAATTGCACTTATCTGTTTGGTAAATAAGGTAATATATAGTATGGTAAGTTAAAGGTAAAAATCAGGTATTTCTTCCTTCGTCTCAAACTGCAGAGGTACATCAATCCTTAAACATTATATACCGGTCAGCCAACTTCAAGCAAGTGATTCATAATTCTCATTTGTGACTCCTATTCGTGATTGAACCGTGAATGATCTTCAAGATAAATGATTCTTATTTGTATTCGAATCTGAACGATCTTCAAGATAAATGATTCTTATTTGTATTCGAACCCGAACCGTCTAGAGATTACCATAGGCTAAAAAGGGATAAAATGTTATGATAGATGAAGGGAAATTTGAAAAATATTTAGATAAAATGCTTGAATTATTAAATGAATCATTTCACAGAGACTAAAATTAATATGAAACGGAAATATCTTATTTAATATATTTAAATATAGTAAAGCATAATATCTTATTCCAAAAAGTAATATATAATTTTATATAGAAGCTAACATGTGTCATTCATTGCAGATGTAGAGGTTATGTATAAAATTTGACAATTTGCTCGAGAAATCATTGAACAAAATATAAATTATTTAATAACACATTATTAACAAAACGTACCTTATAAAATCAGACGGTCATTAACATAACTAAATATAAATTAATATTTCGGATGACCGAAATAAAATAAAATAGAAGTGACCTATTCGTAGCTGTCTGTCAGATGAAATGAAAATGTCACTTCCTCTGACACAAAGCATAGACGACAAATGACATTTGAGTAAAAGGTGATTGTGTCCCAAATAACGAAATAACGGTTCCAACAAAATTATTTTCCAAATTTTTACACGTCTCTGAAGTAACTAAAAATACAATTCAAAACGAAAACGGAATGTGATATATTTTTATTTGTTTTATTTATTTAAACATTATACAAATTTCAAAAATAAACAGAGTGATATTATTTTTAAGCAAGCCCATGAAAATTTTAAACAAACGTGAATAGGTCCAAAAGATACCTTATC